TATCTTGGGCCTTAAAGCCGAGCAGATTTTTCCCCACCTCCCCATCCTATTTGGTTTTAGAAGTGAGTTCCTCACCTAGGGACTACTGCCTTTCTAGGGGAACACCTTGGCTCAATCTAGTGACCAGAAACACTTCCCCATTGCAGACACTGCCATAGTCCACAAGCTCTTCTCTTGAAAAACAACTTAAAATGGTAACAACTTCAGCCTGAGTCAAGAGCCGTTTGTCATGGTTGTGGAGGTTACTGTCAATGTCAGCGGTCGTAGGCTCCCCCTGGAGGCTATTGTAGCCATATTCAGAAACCCAACACAAAATCATCCTCAGGAGTATTTCATAGATGATAAGGAGATACCAAAGGAACAAGAGTAAGTGGTTGCTTAAAATCGTTTCTTGTGCTTGAAAAGGTATTTGTTTATAGGGAGGACAAAACCAGAGTCATTCCAGGTTTCAAATTTGGTCACCGGAGGTGGGATGCCATCTCCAGATGGAAGGACTACCAGGTCTTCTTTCTTCCTAGCTAAGAAACAGGTTCAGGCGGATGTTTTTGAGCAGTCTTCAATGATTTGTGATAATCTGTGCAGACTTTTTTCTTTCACTTTCTTCTTTATGGACTCGGGGTGGGGGGGGGTTGGACCATGTGACCTTTAGAGGTCTCTTCCAAACTCAGATATTCTGTGATTCTTTGAAGGATAAACTCTCTGTTCTGTATTATGTTGATCAAACAGCAGTTGCTTTCTGCTGGGTTTTGCATTTTGTATTTTGTCACATGAGGCTCTAGGCTGTGTCTATTGCTGAAGTAGCTGGCCACCTGTTGTTGTTGTGCTGTGACATTTGTTGTGGATTAAGGTGCTCCAGCTGAGGTGCTTTGTCTGAGAAATGCAGAGGACCACCTATCGCAGAAGTATTATTAGAAAACATGTTTGGCAAAGGTTGGCAAACTGAGACTTTGAAGTGTTTTTTAATACAAAGTAGTTCTGCTCACCCTTGCAAGTAAACCACATTAAAAGGTTTGCATACCAATTACTGCGCATCTCTCTGGTTTCTCAGATTGTCCCATTGACACACAACTTTGCCTGCAATAACAGTCACAATAAGGCTTAGATGGAAGGGACCTTACAGACCATCCAGTTCCAACCCCCCTGCCATGGGCAGGGACACCTTCCACTAGACCAGGTTGCTCAAAGCCACATCCAGCCTGGCCTTGAACACTTCCAGGGATGGGGCATCCACAGCTTCTCTGGGCAACCTGTGCCAGTGCCTCACCACCCTCTCTGTGAAGAATTTCTTCTAAATATCCCCACTTTCAATTTAAACCTGTTCCCCCTTGTCCTATCACTACAGGCTTTTGTAAAAAAGTCCCCCCACCCCAGCTTCCTTGTAGCCCCTTCAGGTACTGGAAGGTGCAATAAGGTCTCCCCGGAGCCTTCTCTTCTCCAGGCTGAACAAGCCCAACTCTCTCAGCCTGTCCCCATAGCAGAGGTGCTCCAGCCCTCGGAGCATCTTCGTGGCCTCCTCTGGACTCACTCCAACACGTCCGTGTCCTTCTTATGTTGGGAGCCCCTGACATCCCTGCATACCGGACCAAGGTCTGAGTAACAGTTATGTAAATTCCAGTGGCTATTCCAGGACTCACCTGGTGGTGGAGGAAAAATGCACCTTTATCTGCTGTGGGAGGGGCGTGGGTGTTGAGGTGGAGGCTACCAGTTCCGGGAAGTATTTGGGCAGGAAGGAAGCAAATATTTCCTTTCCTTTTCCCACATTATCACCGAGGTCTTCAAGGCGGAGTGTATACAAGCAGAGGAAGAGTTTGTTGGAGGCAATAGGACTGGCACAGAGCACGTGGGCAGACTGGGGATGGATATCTGATGGGGAAAGTCTGGTTGTGCTGTATTAGCAGCAGCATTGAAATTCCTGCGAGGTTAATAGTAATGTAACAAACGCTTTAACAGCTTCATTCTCTGTCAGTCTTGTCACCTTTTTTGCTTATGTTCTCAAACATGACCAGAATACATTTTCTCTTTTGTCACTGCCTGCCTGTTCTTGCTCCCTGATATTCAACGATTTCAATTTATCTGGTGTTAATGTAACTCCAAGGCAATTTGGAATGCTATTATTCTGAAAGAAGCTAAAGTAAAATGGGGCTCTTTCCTGCAGACATTCGTGCACATAATTAAAATAATTCTAACAGTTAAGTGTGCTTAGAATTGGTCTCTGGATTTGTACTTTATCCGTAATCTCCCATTGAAAACCAAGGTTAATTCATCCCCATAGTTATAGTTTGAAAGCATTAAAATGCTTATTTAACAGGTTAAAACCATTGACTTTGGAAGATTTAACTGTCTGGATATAAAGTTGTTTGTGCTGTATGACCTGGAAAAAGATTTGATTTAATAAGTGGAATGATATGTGTTCATGTTACCTCACAGACATTTCACCTTTTTTTTTTTTTTAATGGTCTTATTGTAAAAATGTCTTCATTTTGGTTTATGTATTGTTTTCAACAAGAGGTTCAGGGCTTTATACACCAAAAGTGAACTATCTCTTCTGTTTTCATTGCTTGAGGGGGGGTGACTCAGTTTTATTTCTGTTATATGTAGGTTACAAAATGCAGGTTTATTAAATATGTTTTCTTAATTTCTGATCAGACTATTCACTTGAATAAAACCCAGTTATTCTTATGTATTAAAAATATTCCTTTCATGTAAAGAAAAGTCCAGTTTTTATTTTTTAATGAAAATACCGATTTCCATGCTAAGACTAAGTTACAAGAATGAATGGGTTTTTGACTGTCCAGGACTCTGGGAAGAGCACCCACTGCTCTGGCTTCCAATAGGGAAGGTTTCTTGAGCTTCCAGAAAGGGAAAAAGTAGGCAGATCCTGCTGATGCTACAGGAAACTTTGCCTTCAGAGCTTGGGTAATTTATGGGCAGTATGGAAACTGCTTGTGGGAAGGGAGTTGCAGAAATCCCATGTGGCTGTTGGAGGTTGAGGTGAGTGAACGAGATTGTAGATGTGCTTTCTTGCCCGGTACCTGTGCCCTTAGCTAACTGTGGTGGGCAGATAGGCTTGTTGTGACCATGGGGTTTGGGTGGGTGAGACTTGGGAGGCGACCAGCTCAGTCTCTGAAGGTTTATTAATTCAGACACAGAACAAAACAAAAGTTGTGGGGATTTCGGGGAGAAATGTCCCTGGTGTCCTTACAGAGGGGCAGTTTTAGGCTTCTGAGTTCCTCCTCACCAGATCTAAGTTGACTTGCATGGGGCTGTCTGTGTGTCTTTCACTGGTTTATATAGAAACATTGGCATGGTGCTTGGAGAACCAAGCTGTTTCTCACAGGGCTTTGACAAGGTCCATGAGTCTAGAAAGAGGTTTTATGGGTACCAGAGAGTTATGTGTACACATTGCATCATAACTTAAGTTACTTGTGGGAAAGCTTGAGTCACTGCACAATCTATAATGCCTTTTCTCCCTGTTGTTTTTGTTTTGCTCTCCTGGGTAATATTTTGATCAAACAAAGCTTGTATCACACAAGCAGTTTAAATTCTAAAGGTAACTGGACTCTGAAGTCTGAACTGCATTACCTTTGGCAACACCTTTTGACTTCCTGAGATGTGCTGTCACTTTGGTGGAGAGAACAGTGCTCAGCCATCTTAAAAAGAAGGTAAAACACAATTCTGAGGTGCACCAACTGTAGCGATCACAACTAGTCTTTGCTGTTCCTTGAAATAGCAGTGTGGCTAGGTAAAGATTCACAGGTTTATGTGTTGTTTGGGTTTGTTTTTTTGATTGGGTTTTAAGGCTAAATGAAACAGTGAGAATAGACCAAATGAGATTGCCAGAACACCTGCACTGGTCTCCTGTGTGCCAGGGGTCATGGAATTTGTCCTAGCTCTTCTCCAAAACATCCAAGAAAGGTGTTGCGTTCAGGTGTTAGTCACTGTATAGCCCTCATCGACAAGGATATTTTCAAAAAAGTGAGACTGCATTGCACGTGACATTTCAGCAGTAGTCACCAAGGGATGTCCTCTCCTAAATATAAGAAGACAACAGCAGGTGAAGCTTTTAATGCCACCCAAAGCAGTAGTGAAATACTCTGCTTCCAACAGTCATTGGATAACTCAAAGTGCAGAGACAAGAGTCGTGTGAGGTCTGTGGGAGAAGGGCATTAAAACATGCCAAGAACTGTGAAACTCTGCTTCTATCTCCTTGTGGTTTTCCTCTGACTTGTGGATCTTCAGGGTGTGATTGCTTCTGTCAGGAGCACGTTGGGCAGTGCAGTTTGATTCAGTACCTTTCTCTTATGTCCTGTTTACCAGGCAGTTATTAAGAGGGATGGCCAGAGCCGACAGTGAAGCAAGGGGAGGGCAGAGCGAAGTTCAGCTACGCTTGCCAGCCTTATGAATGATAATGTTAAAACTTAGCCACCAAAAATAGTTGTTTCGCTGCGCCTCTTTGTAAACTTCTGTGGGACTGAAGAAACTATTCTGAACTGAAACGCACTCTCCCTCAGGGACTTTTTTCAGCACTGAGCCCAATTATTTTTTAAATGGGGGGTTTAGCCCTCCAGGGAAGCCATAAATATGTCCATGGCTGAGCTGTAGTGAGTTGTATATTCCCAATTGTCCTATTAAGGAAATTCAGTAAAGAAAACAAGAGGCTGTTCTCCTTAGTAAAAGTACTAGCAGCTCTTTTCTTGCAATCTAAGTGATATTGCACATTTTACTTTTGAATAGCTAAATAGTGTTTTGTCACATCTAAGTTCATGAAAATTTAATGTCTCAGTGGTCGAAACTGGTCACTTTGTGTTTTGAATCACGGCTGGTGCAGACATTTTAAGTGTCTGTTGATGGTTGCTTCTAAGGTTGAGAAACAAGAAACAAATCTTTTGTATCTAAGGGGAGCAGGGGAATAAGCAGACACAAAATAATTTACATTGGAAAGGAGCTCCAGAATTCATCTGGTGCGTCCGCTACTCAAAGCAGAACTAACTCCAAGTTAGATGAGGCTGTCAAGCCAAGTTTTGAGAATCAGGGATAGAGACTCCAGCCCTGCTGGGCTCGTGCCTCAAAGCTTAACTAGTCTTATGGGGAAGTTGTTTTTTTCCTTATGTCCAAGTGAACAAGTCTTTTTTTGTAGAGCTGCTTTCTATCCAGTTGGTCCCCAGCTGTGCTACTGAATGGGGTTGTCTGTCAAGTGTCCATCTTGCCTTGGAACTTCTTAAGGTTCCTGATACCCAGCTTTTTTGCTGTGCTGAAGTTTCTCCGAATACCAGTTTCCCCCTCCACACCTCTTTCCCCAGCTTGGTTTCACCAGCAAACTTGCTGAGGGTGCTCTCCATCATGTTTTCTGTGTCACTGATGAAGATGTTGAGCAGAATTGGCTTGTAATCCTCTGGGAGTTACACTTTGAACCTTCAGCCACAACCTCCTGAGCCCGATGGTTTAGGCAGTTTTTCACATATCTTGTCCAGCTGGTGTCTTCCCAGTTAGACCACAGGCATATTAAGGGAGACTTACAAGCCTTGCTGAAGTCAAAGGAAAATTTTGTTTTCCCCAAAGCCAGTCATTCTCTTCTAGAAGGAAATCAGGTTGGTCAGTCATTATTTGCTTTTGCTAAATCTGTGGTAGCTGTTCCCAATCACATTTTTACTGTTCATTAGCTGGAAATAGTTTCCACAAGGGCTTGCTCTGTGATCTTCCCTGGGACTGAAATGAATCTGACAGACTGTTGTTCCCTGGATTGTCCTGCTTTCCTGTTTTGAAGATGAGTGTAACTTTTGCCTCCTCTGGTCGACATGACCTGTCAAAGGTGAGAGAGGGCACCTTGGCCTGTGCCTTCTGCATGTCCAGATGAATCATGTCTTGTCCCATCTACTGGTATGTTTTTAATCTATGTAAATAGTCCTTCACTCAGTCACCTTTTACTAATGAGAAGCAATTTGAAAAAGAGAAATTACTAGGTAGAGAGCATGGAGTGCTTGAGACCAGACCTTGCCAGTGAAGACTATGGCAAGGAATATACCAATTACTTCAGGAGTTTCCTTGTCCTGCATTATGAAGTCGCCTGCCCTGTTCAGCAGTGGGCCAGCATTATCCTTGCTCCCTTTTTCTGCTGATGTATCTGCAGGAGCTATCTGTTGTGTTTCCCATGCCTTTCACATTTCCCATCCCTTGCACGAACTCCAGCCGAGCTGTGGACTTCCTAGCTCTTTTCTTATATTCCTCCTTTGTTCCTCCCAGGAAGACTGTCCCTTCTGTACATGACATTTTAAGTCTGAGCTCACTCAGGAGTTATCCATTCAGCCAAACTTGCCTCCTGCCTTTCCTCCTTGTCTTGCACACTGGCGTGGATTTTTCATATGCTTTAGAGGGGTGGCTTTCAATTTAAACCATTGCTTCTGAGTCCCTTGGCATTTAAGGTAATTGTCCCAGTCTACCACTTACCAGCTTCCTGAAGAAGCTGAGACTGCTGCTCTGAAATTCAGGATCTTTATTCAGTTATTTGCCTTCTTCGCTTTACTCAGTATTTAAAATTCTTACATCACCTCATGGTCACACTGGCTAAGGCTGCCATCAGCCTTCATGTCCTTAGCCATTTCTTCTTTAATTCGTACCATGTCCAGCAGTGCTCCTTGTCTACTTAAAGGAGTGCTTGCAGAAAAGTCTTTCATGCTCCATATTGCCTGTGTGTTGCTGTTCTGCTCTTCCAGCAAATGTCTCAAAGTTTCCCATGAAAACAAGTGCTGCAATTGTGAGGCTTCTTTCAGTTGTTTAAAGATGAATTTGTCCACTTGTTTCGTCCACTTGACTGGGCAGTCTCTCTCAAATGCACACTATGTTTATCACTTGTTCACCACCCTTGTGGTCCTGATCCATGAGCTGTCATCCTTGACTCCTTGTATCAATCATGTGTTGTTGAAAAAGTGGGAAAACAGTGTGCAATATTTTAAGAAAGTGCTAGACACTTAATAAACTGGTGAGACCATCTGTTTGCACACAAGAGTATCGGATTACTCCTCTCCCCTGCGTGACTTGGGGCGAGCAATTTCCCCTCCTCTATGTCTCAGACTGTGAAGTCCGTGTGATAGTGACAGTCCCATACTGTCAGTGTGGTCAGTGTGTCTCCTGCCCTGCTATAATAAAGGTAGCTGATGTGCAAGCACTGCTGCCTACCAAAGGTTGCAGGCATCATTGCATTAGTATTGCTGGATGTACCCTGCATGCTGTCTTTATGGAAGCTGAGATTTGGTGAGGCAGAGAACCTGAAAGTCCACTTGTCGAGTGGCAAAGTAGATGGGAATGTCCCCATGCACCAAAGCAAATTTGGAAGGAAACCTGGTTGCTAAAAACAAGTGTATGTTTGTACAGGATTCTCTCATTGCCAGGAACATAGTGTTTTGGGGCATGACAGTGGAAAAGATCATACTCTGATTTGCTCTCCCAAGTGTAAGGATTTTTAATTTTCCTGAGCTGTATGAGTAAGCTGGTTATGGCAACAGGGCAGGATGAAGGCAAAAGGAAATGTAGATGAGTGCATGATGAAAATAAATATTTAAATGACTTGTTCGAATTACTTAGGTATGTGGAAAGACAAAATATTTGCTGTATTTTTCAGTCAGAAGGAATCTTTACATACTCTTGAATAGCTGACATCTGCTTCATTCAGTGTGAACCAGGTTAAATCAAATGTTATTTTCTTTTTGTAATATTTAATAGAGCCTGTTGTTTGGGTTACAGAACATGGAGGTTCTCAGTGCACTGTGCACTTTTCTTGTTACCTTGCACGTAGGAATCTCTATTTTTAGGTTTGGATATGTGCATGAAGACCTTAATTAAGAAAAAATATTTTTCTAAACTGCCCTGCTTGCAATGTTCAGTCACTTCTAACTGTGGTGTTTCCCCCATGTCTTGCACTCTCTTCTCTGTGTTTTGTATTATCAGTAGCTAAAAGCTACCTGCTGACAGGTTGTTCACCTTAGTTTTCTGTTGTGAAGTCTCTGCTGCCTTTCTGGACTTAAGTAGCTTTAAGTAGTGTTTGACACTGCGTTGCATATTGGCCATGGTGGTCAACTTTAGCTACCTCTCTGGCAACTTCAGGTTGCCAGTGGCTCTAAATCAGACAATAAAAGACAAGTGGTTTAATTAATCTTAATACCATTTTGAGCCTACTGCTGCAGTCAGTTGCTCATATTTATACATGTACCTACTCTGACATAAAATCCTACCGAAATAAAAGGGACTTCAATTGACAAAGTGAAGGTTTGCAAGATCCGTCCCTTGCTAGTATCAGTAGCTATGCCTTGTTTTGAACAAGACCGGATTTGCTTTGATTTCTACATTAGTGCAGGCTACATTGGGCAGAACATTTAATGTCTCTCATTGATTTTCCCTGTAATACTGTTGAAAAAGAAGTCACTGCTCTGATCATTTGTTTTACCATTAAAGTTCTGTACGCAGATCTGTTCCCCTGGGTTATCAGTGTGCAACCAGATACTCCTTGATCTAATGAGGTTCTGCAAGGAATATGCTATCACTTCAACACTTAGCAGTAGAAAGCTTCATCTAAATGGAAAATTTATCTCATACTTTAAAGTAAAATGCAGTTCAAGGATACAACCATAAAAAGCAGGGGTGTACAAAATTTTAAGACATTTCTCAGATTAAACAAAGCAAAATCCAAGCCAGAGTTTCTAAGGTGATTTGTCGTGACTACAATTATTGTTAAAGAAGAAAATGTTACAGCTGTCACTTCAGTTTATAGGGTTTGTTCCAGTTCAGTTAAAATAGCATCGCCATCAGAAATGACTGACTAACAGGATTTCATTAATGTGATACTTATTTGCCACAGCAGGCACGCTCTGGAAAGTAATTTTGAGAAGCACCTACAAAAGCATCAGTAGCAGGCAAGGCTTGTGCTTTGAACTCATTTTGGCGCTAGGATTTATATCTCCGAGGGCCTAGTGCTACAGTCCATTTCAGAAGCACAGGTCCTGCTGACCTTGAAGGAGTTTTGTAAGCGGTGTGACGTAGGCTGAGGAACAGACCGGCTTGCTGCAGTGAGTCTGACCAGAAGCATTCCCTCCGGCTGCGACGGCGGGAGTGCAGCTCTGCCTGCAGCCTGACAGTATTTCTGTGTAAATGCTAGACTTCACCACCAGGTATGCAGAAGGCTAGTGGTAGACAGGGGTGATGAGCATCTCCTAGGGTCAGCTCCTCTGCCCATAAAGCAAGAGAAAGTCCCTTACAGAAGAATGATCATATGCTTGCAGATGTCCTTAGCTTTATCAGCTGTTTTCCTCTAAATGTCTAAATGCTGAATAAGTTGTTGGGGTTTTGTTTTCTGGATGATTTTTTTTTGTTGTTATTTTTGTTAATGAACGTACCTAGACACACAGAGAATTTTGCACAGAAAACTATCTTACATATTTGTATTAAACTTCGTTAAGTTGTGGAAAATGATAACTTCTGTACAGAGGAATAAATAGAGGTTAAATAGTATGTCTTGCTCTTGTCAGGAGCATGCAGTGGAGTTTCTGTATTTTGTCAGTTGAATGTAATGTTGTCCTTGGCTCTATCTGTTGCATTTATGTAACAAAGGAAAACAAAGAATTTTAGAGGTAAATTTAAGACAAAAACCAGCATTCAGTAACTTTGTGGACGACCAGATGAGACTTGATATAAAGAGTCAGGAAAGTTACATGTCCTTAGCATTTTTCAGCTCATGTTTTAGCTGACGATCAAGGTGTGTGTAGGATGTTGGTTTGTTTTTTATTTCGGTTCTGCAGATGAGATGGTGCACAATTCGATGTGCAGGGCCAGACTCTCCTCTTCATGTTGGCTCTAGGGATTTATTATGTGCCTAGCTTTTCTGTAGTTACACCACGGTTGCTTTCACATTCAGAGACTGCTGACTTCAGTGAGTTTAAGGCATTAAATAAGAGCTAGAAGAGAGTGAGGGGGTGCCCAGACAAGCAGTGGAACAGGCACTACCTTTCCTTCAAGTTCCTGTGAGGTGCTGGTGGGGTAAATGCTGCCAGAAAAATGTCATGTATTGAGAAAAAGGGTAAGGGAGGACTTCATTGGTGGATGCCCAAGAACACACCAGAAAAGTTTATTAAGAAAGAATCACTAATGACTTTTAATATATGACTACAATATTGACCATTTTCCTCTGTTGTGTTTTTAGGGTCTCATGACTCATTTAGCTTCTACATCGATGAAGCCTCTCCAGTTGGGCCTGAACAGCCAGAGACGGTGCAGAATTTTGTGTCTGTTTTTGGGACTGTGGCTAAAAAGCTGATGAGGAAGTGGTTGGCTACACAGACCATGAATTTCACCAGCCAGCTCGGGGCAGGTATAAGGTATTTTGATCTTAGAATTTCCACCAAGCCCAGAGACCCAGACAATGAACTCTACTTCGCTCACGGTTTATTCAGTGCCAAAGTCAAAGAGGGTCTGGAAGAGATCAATGCATTTCTCACTGACCACCCAAAAGAAGTGGTCTTCTTGGACTTCAATCACTTCTACGGGATGCAGAAATACCATCATGAAAAGCTTGTCCAAATGCTCAAAGACACGTATGGAAACAAAATGTGTCCTGCCATATTTGCCCATGAAGTCAGCCTCCAGTACCTGTGGGAGAAAGAACACCAAGTGCTGGTGTTCTACCACAGCCCAGTGGCTCTTGAGGTACCATTCCTTTGGCCAGGCCAGATGATGCCAGCTCCTTGGGCAAACACAACAGATCCAGAAAAACTGATTCAATTCCTGCAGGCATCAATCACTGAAAGAAGAAAGAAGGGCTCCTTTTTTATATCTCAAGTAGTGCTGACACCAAAGGCTAGTACAGTGGTGAAGGGGGTTGCTAGTGGTCTCAGAGAAACAATCACAGAAAGGTAAGTGTCTGGCAGGTAACGTGTGCTGACTATGCTAAATGTGTGTGTTGGTAATGCTTTTCTAATTCCTTTTAAAGAAACTCCAGAAAACGTGTTTCTTCCATGCTACGGTGGGTTAGTCAGAACTTGGGCAAAACCCTAAAATATTTAAAGGGAAGCACACTGAAGCAGAAGCTTTTGTATCTTGAAAGAAAAGCTGGCACTGAAGCCTAATGAGGTCTTAGGGGATTGGCTTAGCCTTTTTTCTTTTCTGAATGGAAGTTTTTTCATTTGTTTTCTTTTTCAAATGTGATTTCTTACCATGAGCACTGAACATCTTTCCTTGGATTTCCTTACTGGATGTGGACAAATTTATCTGAATTATCTATTTAATTTAAGTTTTTATTTACGCATCAGGTTTCAAGTATTGGGTAAATAATTTTTTTTCATTTTGGCTCATCAGCAAAGTCTGACACTGCAGAATTTGCATCCTTAACTACTTTTACACACTTTAAAGGTGGGTGGCTTTTCTCTCTGCATACCATCACCTATTGTATCAAAGATATCAGGACACCATTAGAGAGAATTTGCCTCCTAACTGTCATTCATTTATCATACAGGGAAGAGACTGCAGCCCACTATAAAGGTTGCATATATGGAATACTGTGTTGACAGGCCATTAGTTGTTACGTTACAAAAAAAGCCGTCTGTGCAAGACATGCATTATTTACACAATTCTGACTTTGATAAATCACAGCCAATTTTCAGCTTAAAGGCATATATGTGTGACTATGTTCTTGACAGCTTGGTAGGAAACCTGAAATTTAATGCCAAGACACAAGAGCTATTTTTTTCCCCCCTTAAAAAAAAAAAAAAATATGGTTGCAGAGTGTGAAAAATGTGTAATGGGGATCAATGGCCTGCTAATGTTCTGCTCTCTGCATGAATGTGTCTGTGCCAGGAAGGTCTATGGGGAACACTATCCCCTTCTATGAAATGAATGATGCAGTGCCTGTGGCACTACACCCTGCGAAGAACACATGCCTCATTTTTGAGGAAGGTTGAGCAGTTTTTATGGCAGCTTTCCCAAGCGACTGTTAACTTGTAAAAAACAGGGAGAAACTTTACCTGAAGTGGTAAAACACTGACACAGAAGGTTTTATAAGCTGTGGCATATGACTCAGAAGTGCTCGTGCAACTGCACTTGCATCTGTTTGTATATCCTCCACATTTTTTTTGTAGTCTCCATTGGACTGGGGATGTCCCTTTCAGTGAGTCTGAAGAGCTCTTCTCTGTACTGAAATACTACATTGTTGATGGATTTTGCTGTTAAAAACTCACCTTGTTGTTTAGGGATTTGTTTTCTCTGGTAAACATATGTCTCGGTGTTCTTTAGAACATGAAGTAGCACGATCAAGGAACTACCAGGTTCTCTTTTAAAACTTGCTGCATCAATAAAATAGCCATTAAAAAACTCTTCTTCTCTGGCTCAGAATGTGCTTCCTTGAAGCTGTTTGGAAAACTAAAAAGTTCAAATGGATTCTGGGTATGTTTGGCTGAGCTCTGAATGACTTGAGCTTTTGAACTCACTATGCTTTTATCTACAGCAAATTTTGAGATTATAACTAACTTGAAATGCCAGTAAATAATTGATCTGGAATACCTGAAAATGTTATTTTTTCCAAATTGCAACTGAAATTTTCACATGAGCCCCAAGGGTATAATCATGTTTGCTGCATGAATGCTTTTTTCCTTCTTTGCATAACTCTTTTAACCATTGCAAAAGAAATGGACCTTTAAAATTCTCTCCAAAGCTAGTACTTAGTCTTCCAAGTGTGGCACCTCATTTTGAAATTCTACTACTTATTATACAAATACACTGCAGGAAGACACAGGTTTGGAGTATGCGTTAACCTACACAAAAACTGAGCTCGTATATTAAGTTAACTGCTCTGAGCTTAAACATCAAGTATACTCTGAACTGCTCCTCATTTGATGATGATCCTGTGAAAAAATAAATAGATGAGCATTAAAGGATGCAGCACAATTAGTAGAGTTTACAGAATTCTCTTCAATATTGCTGCATTAACATTTCCATAACTTAAAAGTATGTAATCTGCACTAAAGGAGCCGGAACATATGTTCCAGCTGTGCTGTGTTTGCTACTTAGAACGGTCTTAAAATTTTTTGTTGTAAGATTATTCTGTCCTTTTCAGAATAATACACAGATCAAATCACATTATTGTGTTCAGGTAGATAACATACGTGCTTTTGTTGCCAGCGGCTGCATAGATTTATACATTTTATACTATTTTCTGCTTATTAATAAACGCTGGAGAAGAGCTTTGCATCAACAACGCAGTATCTTGCTTTTGGCAGCAGTTTTGTAACCGTACTTGGGTGGAGTTTTTCCCTCACATTGAATTTTGAAACATCAGAATGCAAGTGAGGAATAAGGTTGAAATTTTCAAATAATTCTGGTGTGAGTTTTTTTTCCCCTAAATTATATATTAAGTTTAAGAAGTGTTCCTTTGGCATTTTTGATAAAACTCTTAGTCATGTCTTTTTTCCCCCCATCTGTACAGTGGCTATAGTCATTTACATATTGACTTAATTCTGAAAATAGAGCAACGGTTAGGTCTTCTCAGATCCAACTGAACATACCATGTTTTGATATAGGAAGATTTTGTTGCTCAGGAGATTATTTATTACTGCAGTAGAGCAGTCTCCTAAGTGATACATTTCAGAAGAAGTGATGTTATTCCTCGATCTGTACCCCACAGTAGATATCCAAGTTGGGAAGTCCATGGTAACCTTGATTTAAAAAAAAAAAAAAAAGGTGTTTAATGCACCTAAGATGGAATTGAGTAGAAGATACACCAGGCCTGGTTTTTACTGATAATGCTTGCTCACAGGCTTTGCTGCTGTCATCACAGCTAATAATACTCTGTGGGACAATAATTTGAAAGAAGGAGAAATTACGAAGTCATCAAGCTTTCAATCCTGCACAAATGCAAGCAGGAAAGACATTTCTTGTAAGCTTTCCCTAGGACCACAGCTCAGCATTACAAAACTTTATACCACGGCTTTCATCTTCATTACTTGAATGAGGAGAATCGTTCACATGCATGCATGTTATGTTTCTTGGGTTTGATGAAAAACTTGGAGGACTAACAATATGTTTTCAGGCTTAGCATTCTGTCACGCACAGTTTAGATGCCAAGAAATACTCTTTGATTAGCAAACAGTACATACCAAATGAGTTACGCTTCCTCTGCTTATTGAATTAACTTCACAGTGAGGCAGCTGCCTTTAGTACATCTGAAAAGCAGTTGTGAAACAACCTTTTGATGAGCGTAGAGCTGTTCTTCATAATAATCTGGTTTGTTTTCTGATTTATGGTGAAATTACTAATTTTATCTCTGACACTGGAGACAAGCATGATACTCTCTTTTTTTGTCTCAGAGGCTGAATAAGATAGAAGAAGAATAGATTTCCTTCAGAGGATGCAAAAATCCTGTGGTGCTTTTAAAGATTCTGAGAAACGGAAAATAAACACATACCCAGCTGATTGTCACTTGATTTTCAAATTAATCCCTAAGGATAATGTTCCCTGTAGCTCACACGTGACTAAATCCTTGCCCACCATGCTAAAGCTTCCCCCTTAGCAACCAATGCAAAAAAAAAAAAACCTGCACATGAGAATGAACCTTTGAAGTGGAGGTAAAGTAGCCACACTGTTAACAAAAGGGCTGGTAAGTAGGCCACAGAAGCTGTCTCGAGAAAAGTAATCTCTGAGTGCAGTCATAAACTAAGCAGGGTCAGATTTAGCTAGCAAATAGGTGGATATTATATAAAAAATAATCCCTGAAGTTGCAAGAAGTGGGATTTTTGACTAAGTTACTGAGGGTGTGCTCCTACTCCAAGCCCTATCTCAGCCAGCTGTATTTTTGAAAATTTGCTGGAAGAGTGGGCTTTGGTGTTGGCTTTGATCCACACTTGGTACTAACTGATGTCATTCTTGACCTGTTTTATGTGGAAAAGCGAAACAACCACAGAAATGGCAGCTCTATTTTACTAATTGTCTGGACACTCTTCCTGCTTGTAACCTTCATGTCTGTCTCGATTAGGGGCTGCAGGAAATCAGCAGGCTGATTGAGCTGAATGAACTGGTTTAGATTTAGGACTCAGCGACCCCATGGTGTAACAACACACATGGTGTGGTGCTCCTTCACTGCCGAGAGGCAAGTGTGGACTCGGTGCCTCACTAATGTGTATGGTACAAGCATCTTGTCCCTCACTGAATTTTACTTTGGAGACGTCTGTCTGGTTGGTTTCCACGCCACAACCCCCCCCCCCCCCCCCCCCCCCCCCCCCCCCCCCCCCCCCCCCCCCCCCCCCCCCCCCCCCCCCCCCCCCCCCCCCCCCCCCCTTTTTTTTTTGACCCCAGAAAGCACAAACTATAATTCTGGTATATTACTGGAGAATTTGAAAGTACTGTGTGGAATCCAGCCAAATCCTTAGTATTTCTATTCTTCCGCAAACTATCCTTTAATTACTTTTCTAGTCTTTCCACACAAGACGCAATCTCCATGTTTGCACACAGTGCAGCACAGGGAGACCTTGGTTTTGTTTGAAGCCTCTATCTGCCACATCCACAGGCCTGCACAGTAAAATCCCTAATGAGCTGTGTATGTTCAGACTGATTTTGCTGGCAGGCAGTTTAGTGCTATTTCATCATCTGAGCATCTGTCTGCCCAAGGATTTGAGTATAGCGTTCCCTTGGGAAGTACTTGGGTCATGGTGTCTGATGGCTTTGGTCATGAACCTGACATAGCATTAAAAAGCCACAAAAATACAAAAGCACAGGATTTTTTTAAATACTTGGTTAGGAAAATAAAAAAAAACATACCTATTAGTAGGCTGCGGGATTTAGTCAAGAAAGGAACTTGGCATGGTGATCACCAGTTTTGTGACCACCAGTGTTACCAGGGCTATGCTGTGTGGTGTCAGTTTGCGGTAGTT